GGACATGCGTATAACCATGTTCAAAAGCTATACAGTCAACCAGTAATAACTATGTTTCGATATAATTTTTGATTAAGCAATGTTAGGGGTATACGTAAATATCAACATACACCAGTGCAAAATCATACGCTTTTTGACTTGATGCTCTCTACCGGGCTCATTATATAGCGTGGAATTTCATTTTTTAATCCTGTGGCCAGTTTCAGAACTTCAGACGAGCACGCTCAATTACATCAATATTACCAAACCTCAATAGTTCCCACCCATACAGCAATATTGGCATTCTTTAAATGAATAGTTTGTTCCGAAAGATGCCCAAAATCAATAGTTTGTTGGCAGTGGTGATATAAATGAAAAATTGGTTTCGTTTTTCCGGCCTCAAAGCTATCAAAGACATGTTTAAATATTTAATATTATCCGTCTATCAACACCATAGATACATTTTGATTTGTAGCTAAGAAATACAGAAACGGGCTCCTCCACATAAATCTCAGTCGTCTTATCATCCATACAATCAGCAATCCTAAGACATGCTTGCACGTTGTTGCCTCTGCTGGCAAATTGACTCACGCAGCTAGCCTTGCTCCAAGGCTTTACTGAAAGAGAAGTCCATGGATGTATTGTAATTCTATCCTTATAAGAGGCAAGTCTCGATAAGTGGACAGTAAGGGCGCCAGTCTTTCATAGGGACAAATTGTTCTTATTATTTATATAATCAGGAAATTATGATTTAAACTAACAATTCTTGCATCATAGACTTGTACAGTCCGTGCCCTAGCGGGCAGCCTCGTGCGCCTTCACAATAGCCAATCACAAGCCTTTATAGTAATTAGAGGGCACCAGCGCGTTTTTCAATATTTGTCTGCGCCCATAATTTGCAGACATTTACATCTCCAAAAGTCAAGCAGTGCTACTTCAAGTGCTACAAGTTTTCCTGCGTCTGTTGTTTGTGTTATTTACACTCACTGCAACGTGTGAAACACGAGCAATGGTTAAACAGGTTACCGAATTGTCAAAACAACCGTCGCAATCTACAATGATCCAACGACATTGTTAACTGATAGAGGTAAGCGTTTAGTGTTATTAAAGATGATATTGTCTTGTATAATCGGCGTGATTATTTTTATTCAGGCCGACTTCTTCAACAACGACTTCAATATCGTTGGGGATGGTGTGTCAAACATGAAGGGCAAGGCATGATGTATTTCGGTTAATGGTATGGTAACCCTGAAGTATGTTGCCGGCAGTAGTGTGTATATACCACTTCTTGTAACGTCCATTCGGTCCACGTAAGTTTATGACCTGGGCCTGTTGTAGTGAATGCAGCCGTGTTCCCACAAACGTACTGGTATCCATATACATCTTGGTTCATGTTACCTTATCACTTGTGCTTGAGAGTTGTGTCGTCTTTGATCACAAACATTTTAATACCCAATCACCATTTGTCGCGAAGATATAATCTGAAACTGAAGTTCTAATGAGAACAACGCCAGAGACCATAGCTATTTTACGGGCGCTTCAACGCTATTTCGATATCAATTCTCAAATTATTTGAAGCCACCATGCCGCTTTTGCTCTACGTTTGTATTTATCATCCAAAACTGACTTCCACCGAAGATATCGCTTTCAGACCATTGTGGTGTCATTGGTTACTATGACATCCCAATCAAATGGCATGGGGTACGTACGATTTTCTCTAAGTCAAAACGTCTCTGCGATAACCCAATATAATATCTTTCGATAAAATTAAAGTACAAAAACCCAATGTCCGTTAAACTACTAGTGTTGAAGAGCAATGTGAGCCTAAGCTGAATGAAGTGTCAATATAATGATCATGTCGACATGGCAACAGTTTGATGCCACAATCACTCTGGCTTCATTTCCAGAGTTACTGGAAGCTGAACAGACGTGTAGGGAAGGCTTGTTTTGTATGTGCCTTGTGACATAGGAATGTATTGTTGTACTGATGTGAAGGTTGTATTGTCAATCAGTTAGACACAATCACTGTGTTCGGCCTTGTTGTATACCACATGGTGTACCAAGTTGGTCCGTTATAAAATAAGCATGTTTACAATTGTCTCAAGACATGGTGATAAATAAATCTGCAACATGCTATTGTAGCAGCCACAAAATTTCCGAGTTCCGTGATGGGATTCGAACCACGGACCTTCTGATCCGAGGTCGGACGCCTTGTCCACACGGCCAAAGAGGTTAACCCCGTCAGCAAGCTGACAAGGTATGGATGTCGTCTGTGGGATGACTCCGCGCCCTGCTACATCCTCCCCCGTCAACAGAAGGCACGTCGAACGTGCTCAGCCCCACGTTGGGCGCCAATTTTGTAGCGGCCACACAATTTCCGAGTCCCGTGATGGGATTCGAACCACGAACCTTCTGATCCGAGGTCGGACGCCTTGTCCACATGACCAAAGAAGTTAACCCCGTCAGCAAGCTGACAAGGTAAGGATGACATATGTGGGATGACTCCACGCCCTGCTACACTATCATGCAATAGAAAGCACAAAATTTTCTTCTTAACTTTCAATTAATCGTGTTGTTACCATGTAACACACTTTATTATACCTCAAAGTGAGATTGACCAATCAGAGAGCAGAACTACTGACCGACATGAGCCCCAATGCCGTCAGAAACAGCAAATTTAGATTTTTCAACACCCACCTTACAAATTTCACATGAAAATTCTGGCACAGAAATTCGTTATTCAACATTGTTTTGTGTTAAAATCATTAATTTTGATGTGCACGGACGTTAATGTGTTTTTTTTGGATCATGTTCGTGACTTTAATAAAGATTATATAAAGTTAATGTTATCAACAAGGTTTGTCCTCTGAGGTTTGAAGAGTAGTCTCCCTTTGACCCTTAACGTCTTAGGTTGTAAGTGTTAAGTTTTGAGTTTTATGTTTTGACATGACATGTGCGACAAAGATACCAAATAGTGTAAACTTTTCGGCATAATAAATTCGTTATGGTTTCTTTGGTTGCCGTATACGGTGTCATATTAGGTAAGCAGAAAAATATTTTTCTGCTAATCTATATGACACAGTATACAACTAAAGACACTATAACTAATAATATTGTTTAAAGTGTATATGTGGAACATCACCATAGTTCAATTGGGGTACAACCATCCCATGGTCTGTTTGGTCTTCTGGCAACACATTGCCAGGTACAAGTGAGACGTACATTGAATTTGTCTTGAAAGATGGCTGCCAATGTGATACCTACCACACAACATTCTGGTAGGGATATTCTTTCAAAACAAACCCTACACTCCAGTAGACTTAATTTAACTGTCTGTTTGGCATGTGAACCAGAGACCTTTAGAACTGAAAGGACCAATCTCATAGTCAGACAGACAAAGGACAGCTCGTTGTGGTTAGTTCACTTAGAATAGGGCTTCAGCAATCCATGCTTGCGAACAGGCGACTATGCTTGTTGTAAGAGGCGAGATCAGGTGGTCAGGCATCCGTATTCCAATTGCGTAGATCAGTGATCATACTGTCAATAACTGGGCTGTCTGATCCAGATTCGAATATTTACAGACAGTTGTCATACAGCTAGAATATTGGTGAATGTGATATTAAACAACAAGCAAACAAACTAATTATATGACATGAGTGTGTAAAACATAATCCCCTGGGGCAAAAAGTAGACATATTATAACCTCATGACAGCAAAATATGTTGGATTTTACACCAAATATACCCTCGCTCATTCATCGACAGGTGATGTCAAGAGCACAACACACGCACATTTAGCAAACACTTTCACCTTATTGCATTATTACTGCATGATTACTGGTATATTCATTTCCCTTTAAATAGAGTTTATTTCTGTTTGCTTATATGGAGAAATCTCTACTGACCTCCTACAGTTTTCTAGTCATTGCGTCCCAAATGGTTTTTTTCCATCAAGAAATGGGGCGGCCAGGTACCCTAGTGGTTAAAGCTTTCGTCACGCCAAAGACCCGGGTTCGAAACCCAACATGGGAACAATGTGTGAAGCCCATTTCTGGTGTCCCCCATCTTGATATTGCTGGAATATTGCTAAAAGAGGAATAAAACTATACTCACTTATTAAGAAATATCAGAAAAATTATAACAATTTATAGAAAAATTTATTAATCTGTTTGAAAATATGCAACAATATTCAACAGCACAAGAGAGACAGGATTGAGAACAATGACAGGCCACATGTACACATATAGGCAAGTAATAGTGGTCACACATACTCACAGACATGCTCCACACAATAATGTTTCTATAATTTTCTATAGCTATGAACAGTCAACTGTTTTAAATTTTCCAACACAAGTTCCTGTCCCCCATGTCAGCTGACCGAGTGTCTGTCACACTATAAAACAGGAACAACACCAGAGACCCCGATGTCAGCTGACCAAGTGTCTGTCACGCTCTATACAACAGGAACAACACCAGAGACCCCGATGTCAGCTGACCAAGCGTCTGTCACGCTCTATACAACAGGAACAACACCAGAGACCCAGATGTCAGCTGACCAAGCGTCTGTCACGCTCTATACAACAGGAACAACACCAGAGACCCAGATGTCAGCTGACCAAGCGTCTGTCACGCTCTATACAACAGGAACAACACCAGAGACCCCGATGTCAGCTGACCAAGCGTCTGTCACGCTCTATACAACAGGAACAACACCAGTGACCCCGATGTCAGCTGACCGAGTGTCTGTCACACTCTATAAAACAGGAACAACACCAGAGACCCCGATGTCAGCTGACCAAGCGTCTGTCACGCTCTATACAACAGGAACAACACCAGAGACCCCGATGTCAGCTGACCAAGTGTCTGTCACGCTCTATACAACAGGAACATCAGAGACCCTGATGTCAGCTGACCAAGTGTCTGTCACGCTTTGTTACAACAGGAACAACACCAGAGACCCCGATGTCAGCTGACCAACTGTCTGTCACGCTCTATAAAACAGGAACAACACGAGAGACCCAGATGTCAGCTGACCAAGTGTCTGCCACGCTCTATACAACAGGAACAACACCAGTGACCCCGATGTCAGCTGACCAAGCGTATGTCATGCTCTATACAACAGGAACAACACCAGTGACCCCGATGTCAGCTGACCAAGTGTCTGTCACGCTCTATACAACAGGAACAACACCAGTGACCCCGATGTCAGCTGACCAAGTGTCTGTCACGCTTTTTACAACAGTAACAACACCAGTGACCCCGATGTCAGCTGACCAAGTGTCTGTCACGCTCTATAAAACAGGAACAACACGAGAGACCCAGATGTCAGCTGACCAAGTGTCTGCCACGCTCTATACAACAGGAACAACACCAGAGACCCCGATGTCAGCTGACCATGTGTCTGTCACGCTCTATAAAACAGGAACAACATCAGAGACCCCGATGTCAGCTGACCAAGTGTCTGTCACGCTTTTTACAGCAGGAACAACGCCAGAGACCCCGATGTCAGCTGACCAAGTGTCTGTCACGCTCTATACAACAGGAACAACATCAGAGACCCCCATGTCAGCTGACCGAGTGTCTATCACGCTCTATACAACAGGAACAACAACAGAGACCCGGATGTCAGCTGACCAAGTGTCTGCCACGCTCTATACAACAGGAACAACACCAGAGACCCCGATGTCAGCTGCCCAAGCGTCTGTCACACTCTATAAAACAGGAACAACACCAGAGACCCCCATGTCAGCTGACTGAGTGTCTGTCACGCTCTATACAACAAGAACAACACCAGAGACCCCGATGTCAGCTGACCAGGTGTCTGTCACGCTCTATAAAACAGGAACAACACCAGAGATCCCGATGTCAGCTGACCAAGTGTCTGTCATGCTCTATACAACAGGAACAACACCAGAGACCCCAATGTCAGCTGACCGAGTGTCTGTCACGCTCTATAAAACAGGAACAACAACAGAGACCCCTATGTCAGCTGACCAAGTGTCTGTCATGCTCTATAAAACAGAGCGTGTTGTTCCTGTTTTATAGACCGTGACAGACACTTGGTCAGCTACTCTCGTTTGGACTATGGATATTTGTGTGAAAATCCTGGTTAGTAGGTACGAATTAAATACTACATACATTTCAGATTTCAATGTTTTCCCCACATGTTAACTGAATACATATATGTTAAGCCAGACCTATTGTTCTTGCAATTTAACATAGTGTATGCTATGTTTATGCTGTCTGGGTAATCAGCATCTGCAGAATAAGGTAGCTTTACAGAGCTGTTTTACTTTACATTCTTTTAGGATCGTGGATTCATAAATCAATTTTCTTAAACATCATCTAAAAGGTGAATTCAAGAGGCTGATATTTTAACTGACATGGATTTTGTCATGACACGGCCATCATTACACATAGACAGTTGATTTCATAGTCTCACTTCAAAAACATAGGTCAATAACAACTGGAAATATAAGTTTACTATCTTTATTGAATATCATCAGACAAACATATTGCACTCTCTTTCAAATATAAGAAAATAATCTTGTATCTCTCTTCAACAGAAACAACTGTTCCCACACATTTACATATTACAATATACATGTTACAAATTTCATACATACAGAAAAGAAGTCTGGAATGAATTTGGGGGTTGTCATAGCTTAAGGGGTTCTGTTAGCATTTTGATGTATTGACATGTATGATTTATTGCTATATTAAAAAGTTTCTTTATTATATCAAATCAAAAAGTGGACCCATGAATCTGGTTACTTTTAAATATCATTTACTGTAATCTTCCAGTTTGATGATGTACATTTCTATATGAAGGGCATAACCTGGGCACATAATGAGTCATCTCCAACAACACTGTAAGTTTTCTGGTCTTTCTGTTTTCTGTACAGGTCCTGAAACACTCCTTACAATTTTACTTTCTTATTTAATCATGTCTTAGTTTTGTTATGCCACATACCTGTTTGACTGCAATGATGTGGACCATCATTGTGAGAACACATGTCACAGTTTATACCTCATTCTGCCTACTTGGGAATGTGAGACACAGACATTACATACCACGTATCTCATGTCTTACTCATCATATGTACAGCAATTCTTATTGCCTATGTCTATGGGACAATGGCAATACAATGTGGACAAGTTGAAACATCCATAGTTGACATCGATACCAGATGATGCTCGACTTTGCCTCACATAGTTTCAATAGGCGTAAAACAGTGAAAGGAATGACCACCTACAGTTCATGCTTTTCCATTCCCTTTGAGGCATCGGCTACAGATGACATGTACCACTGACCATGATACATACCATCTTCCCGAGGCAAGAGAGTTAACTGACTATAAAAGTCTAGTTTCCACCCTTGCCGAACTAGGCTGGTATTATGGAGTTACATTTTGGCTGGTCTAATGAGTCTGTGCATAGTTCAGTCAAAATCATGCAACCAAATCGAAATCTGGTTCGTAAACTGTCGTGCAGATTTTGGTCGATTGCAGGATTTGCAAAGCATGTGCACCGCCAAGATGTTGTCAACAGATATTTTCCAAATATTTTCATGTTTTTATCACAGTGCTCACGTGATTTGATGCACTTCGCGATGTAAGACCCGTTTTATCACAATATGGATCTTTATTATCAATCAGATCGTCTTGACTGGGCATCGCCATTTTGTTTGAAGCAAATGCAAGTGATACAAGAGGTGGGTGGAATCTGATTGGGCTATAGGATAGGCATAGAAGGGACGTTAATCATAATAGCCACTGGTGGCGTTATGATCGAACCCAGGAATTCCAGCCTAGTTCGGCAAGGGGAGAAACTGGACTTTTATTGTCAGTTCACTCTCTTGCCTCAGGAAGATGGATAAGTACGACCACTGAAATCTCTTAAAGTTCCCTCTCAATCTACAGAGCCATGGACATGACAACCATGTCGTTGGCACTATGCTGAATAAAGCTTGGAAGTTTGCAATGTTGAACGGTAAGAGATAATGCAGAGATAATGATTTTGTATCTTGTCACTTTCCCCATTTTTCAATGAGTGATTATTTTAGAAACAGCAGGGAATAGATTCCGGCCTGTGATTAATGTGTCATTAGAAAACTTAAAAGACTCAGAGCATGATTGTGGCCTAGAATTTGATGCTGGCTGTGAAAGGGCAAAATGGTTAAATAGATGATATACTGTAACTCAAACCTAACACAATATTACAGTGGTGAAGGGAAATGAAGTGTTGATTCAAGGGGAATATGCAGATCAACATAGTAAATATAAAGAACAATAATGTGAAAATAACATTGACTATGGCACCATGACCTCAAATGAACCAGCAGTTGAGCTGAGCCACAGTTAATTTTGATAAATGCCTTAAATATGTAATATAATTGTAAGGAAATTCAATATGTTTATCAGGATTTTCAACTAATGAATAATATTCTTCTCATCACATAATTTAAACCATTACATAAATATTTTAATTTTTATCAGTCATTATTAAATATTCTTATTTAGAAAGGGTTTTAATTCTAACATTCTGGCTGTTGCTAAACGAGGTAGTTTCAGGGCTTGCATTAATACCATAAATTTTTGATAAAAGTTAATATATTCATTGTATACAAGTTACACAGATGATTATCAAATACATAAAACACACATTTCCAATTATCTGTACCAAAACAAACATTGGGATTCTGGTTCAAAAGAGCTCCCAAATACCTTAGGCATACCATTAGAACAATGGTGATATACCTGGAATCCTGTACACTGCATGTGCATGGAAATCTGATTCTCATGGCATATGATTTCAAACATCCCAACTTTTTAACAGTCAAATTCCTAAACCTAACGGGGGATCTTACACTCTTGGAGAGATAAGAATCACCTGGATGTGCTGAATCTCAATACATTATCTCTATGGCTGTAACCATGGTAACAGTGCAGATACAACACTGGATACTAATTCAGTCAACCTGATGTGATGATTCCCAGTAGTGACATGACGAGAGGACAAACCAGTAATATTTATGCAATTGTTTGAAATACTTGGTTATGAAATGGGTTATACCTTCATACATTTCTCCACGATACACTTAACCACTGATACCCTAATTCAATCTATTTTTGTAAAATATGTATCACACACTTTATATCAGCTATGTATTGTTGGATAGACACTCATTTCCTACAATAACTTAACACATTATTAACCAATACTTATGTATTCCTTATCATTGGTATGCAGCATGTGCTAATTATTGAAATATTGGATTATTTGAGAACAAAGAGGCAACTATATAATAGTTCCTCCAGGCCCAAATCATCCTTAGCACAGATCTACAAAATCTGCAAAACTCACAAGCTAAAAATATTGTGCTTAACAGGTTGATTGTTGAGCTGTTTATTTCCCTGATTATTTCCACATCCCTTTGTTGACTTTCCCAATTTTGATTTTCTTGTCATGTCATAGTCTGTTATTTTCTTCTTTTTATCCATGGTCTGTTGTCATTTGCTTCTTATATACATAGTCTGTTATTATTTTCTTGTTATATCTCTTGTCTGTTTGATAGTTTCTAGTTAAATCTAAGGTCAAACAATTTACATACCAGACAATGATAAGTCAATATTTTGAATAAATAATAATTGTTTCTACTGTCCTAACTAACCATATACCTGTCATATAGACCATGTGTAAACTAATCACTGACCTTCAATGAAAGATTGATGTAATTGTCACCACAAGATTTATTCATTTTGACATCTAGTGATCTGTTATCTGATGTTTATCTGGGTATATAACAAGCTTGCCAGAAATAAACATTGACATTTATCTTCTGCTGAGAGTAAATAACCTGACATGTACATTTACTGCAAGCCATGAGGCCCCAATAACAATTGGAAACACAGGCGTGGCACGAGGTCTGCCTGCTACAGGGCTTGAAACACAGGCATGGCACGAGGTCTGCCTGCTACAGGGCTTGAAACACAGGCGTGGCACGAGGTCTGCCTGCTACAGGGCTTGAAACACAGGCGTGGCACGAGGTCTGCCTGCTACAGGGCTTGAAACACAGGCGTGGCACGAGGTCTGCCTGCTACAGGGCTTGAAACACAGGCGTGGCACGAGGTCTGCCTGCTACAGGGCTTGAAACACAGGCGTGGCACGAGGTCTGCCTGCTACAGGGCTATGGGCAGGCACTTATTTTGAACACTGGTAGGCTACTGGTATTACTATTCCGACACAAAGACTGAAAGCCCTTAACATCTCACTCTATATAAATCAACAAATCATGATTAAATGCTTATAGCTGCATATAAATAATTCCTGGGAATGCATACCCCGATGCAAAAACATAGTTTATGAAGTCAATTAAAACATGTCATTAAATGGGTGTTTTTTATATTGGCCTTGTTATAGGTCCTAAAACAATCATATTGGCCTTGTAAAAGGGCCCACAGTCAGTCATATTGGCCTTTCTTAGGTCCTCAGTCAGTCATATTGGCCTTGTTATAGGTCTTCAGTCAGTCATATTGGCCTTGTTATAGGTCCTCAGTCAGTCATATTGGCCTTGTTAAAGGGCCCTCAGTCAGTTATATTGGCCTTGTTATAGGTCCTCAGTCAGTCATACTGGCCTTGTTATAGGTCCTCAGTCATATTGGCCTTGTCATAGGTCCTCAGTCATATTGGCCTTGTTATAGGTCTTCAGTCAGTCATATTGGCCTTGTCATAGCTCCTCAGTCATATTAGCCTTGTCATAGGTCCTCAGTCAGTCATATTGGCCTTGTTATAGGTCCTCAGTCAGTCATATTGGCCTTGTCATAGGTCCTCAGTCATAATGGCCTTGTTATAGGTCTTCAGTCAGTCATATTGGCCTTGTCATAGGTCCTCAGTCAGCCATATTGGCCTTGTTATAGGTCCTCAGTCAGTCATATTGGCCTTGTCATAGGTCCTCAGTCATATTGGCCTTGTCATAGGTCCTCAGTCAGTCATATTGGCCTTGTAAAGGGCTCACAGTCAGTCATATTGGCCTTGTTATAGATCTTCAGTCATATTGGCCTTGTGATAGGTCCTCAGTCATATTGGCCTTGTTATAGGTCCTCAGTCATATTGGCCTTGTCATAGGTCCTCAGTCATATTGGCCTTGTCATAGGTCCTCAGTCAGTCATATTGGCCTTGTAAAAGGTTCTCAGTCAGTCATTTTGGCCTTGTTGTAGGTCCTCAGTCATATTGTCCTTGTCATAGGTTCTCAGTCAGTCATTTTGGCCTTGTTGTAGGTCCTCAGTCAGTCATATTGGCCTTGTTAAAGGGCCCTCAGTCATATTGGCCTTGTTAAAGGGCTCACAGTCAGTCATATTGTCCTTGTCATAGGTTCTCAGTCAGTCATTTTGGCCTTGTTGTAGGTCCTCAGTCAGTCATACTGGCCTTGTTATAGGTCCTCAGTCAGTCATATTGGCCTTGTTAAAGGGCCCTCAGTCAGTTATATTGGCCTTGTTATAGGTCCTCAGTCAGTCATACTGGCCTTGTTATAGGTCCTCAGTCATATTGGCCTTGTCATAGGTCCTCAGTCATATTGGCCTTGTTATAGGTCTTCAGTCAGTCATATTGGCCTTGTCATAGCTCCTCAGTCATATTAGCCTTGTCATAGGTCCTCAGTCAGTCATATTGGCCTTGTTATAGGTCCTCAGTCAGTCATATTGGCCTTGTCATAGGTCCTCAGTCATATTGGCCTTGTTATAGGTCTTCAGTCAGTCATATTGGCCTTGTCATAGGTCCTCAGTCATATTGGCCTTGTCATAGGTCCTCAGTCAGCCATATTGGCCTTGTCATAGGTCCTCAGTCATATTGGCCTTGTCATAGGTCCTCAGTCAGTCATATTGGCCTTGTAAAAGGGCTCACAGTCAGTCATATTGGCCTTGTTATAGATCTTCAGTCATATTGGCCTTGTTATAGGTCCTCAGTCATATTGGCCTTGTTATAGGTCCACAGTCATATTGGCCTTGTTATAGGTCCTCAGTCATATTGGCCTTGTCATAGGTCCTCAGTCATATTGGCCTTGTCATAGGTCCTCAGTCAGTCATATTGGCCTTGTAAAAGGGCTCACAGTCAGTCATATTGGCCTTGTCATAGGTTCTCAGTCAGTCATTTTGGCCTTGTTATAGGTCCTCAGTCAGTCATACTGGCCTTGTTATAGGTCCTCAGTCAGTCATATTGGCCTTGTTAAAGGGCCCTCAGTCATATTGGCCTTGTTAAAGGGCCCTCAGTCAGTCATATTGGCCTTGTTATAGGTCCTCAGTCATATTGGCCTTGTGATAGGTCCTCAGTCATATTGGCCTTGTTATAGGTCCTCAGACAGTCATGTTGGCCTTGTTAAAGGGCCCTCAGTGTTATTTTGGCCTTGTCATAGGTCCTCAGTCATAGGTCCTCAGTCATATTGGAAGTTGTTACATGTCCTCAGTCAGTCATATTGGCCTTGTTGTATGTCCTCAGTCAGTCATATTGGCCTTGTTGTATGTCCTCAGTCAGTCATATTGGCCCTCGACAGGCTTGACAGGCTGTGAAGGCCCTTGATGTTGCCTCAGGCAAATACCACCTGCCTTGGGCTAAGATGACTGTATCAGCACCGGATTAAAATTGTGATATCTGAGCTCCAAAATTATCCTTATCTATGCTGACATATATGACACTGTTATGTATCATAATTGTCATAAAAAGAACATTTGCATGAAGGTCAAAGTTGAGCCTATTAGCATACATGGATACTTCATGATGAAATATTTTATACAACAGATTTGATAAAGCTCTTGTATTGTATCAAAAATATAAACATCAATATCTAATATCATAATGGAGCAGTCTATCATAATTTGGACCTTAAAGCCATTATATCACATTGCATTAATGCCTCATAGCTGACATGGGTAAGATAAAAATAGGAACTGTCATTATTGTTGGGCTTTGTACACTATGAAATGACCTACATTCAAACTGTAGCGATGAAGCGATTTCTGCTTCCCTCAAAATGCATATCATGCTCGTACATATATAAATGCTTGTCATAACATGATCGGAGGGTCAGATTTGTATGATACATGTTACCTTATTCCAATGGCGTAGATCGATGCTCATGATGTTAATCACTGGATTTTCTGGTCCAGAATCGATTATTTACAGATTGACATCATAAAGATGGAATATTGCTGAGTGTGGTGTTCAACAACAAACAAACAAACATATTTATACCAATATCACTTCACCTGTGACAAAACATTCATGTTTTAGCACAAGAAAACAAGTTTAATATAGCAGGGAGTCTTAAGTGGTCAGGTTGCACAATACTTGCACCATGTTTAATGTTATCACAACTGATTTACAATTGCTGACCACAAAAAATGGGAAATATATGACAAAGGCCTTTTTATCAGACTAGAATTCCCAGATTTCAAAAAGAAGAAATCATAAGGCTTTTCTTGCTCATATATGATTTCAAAGTATTTTTCTTTTCTGAGGGCAGAGATTCGAGTTGACCAAAGATGAGTTTTCTGGTGGGCATTAGGTAACATAAAGAATGTACAAACAAAGTTTATGGTGGGTCATGGATTTGATCATAGTTGTATTTACAGGGATTCATCTAGGATTCATAACTGTGCTCCTGGCAGGCAAATTGGAAAAAAAGTTCCTTTGTTCAAAATTGGGATTTTTAAAAAATTTCAGATATATTTATATATCAGAGATATTTAAAGATTGCATGTAATGCAATAATTATAAAATCTGTTACTATCTAATTGGCCTTGTTATAAGAGACTACAGATTACTTCTACAAAGCCACATTATTAGTAATTAGTTATATATATATTAATACCTTGTACCATGAATTGGTCAATTTTTAGTTCCAATTCGGGTACTTTTTATTATTTTTGATACAGACTTGGGCACGTCTAGATAAATCCCTGATTTGTTTCAGAAATTTCATACATCTAAGCAATTGTGCTGGAATTCATGTCATTAAAAGAAACAAAACTTTCTCTCAAAAAACTTTCCCAAATAACCATCAGGCATTCAACATATACAGCTGTCATTCCCTTAAAAAGCAGGCCATTATTGGCACACACACAGGGGGGCTTTATTTGACTCCATTAGCTGATTGCAATCGGATTATCCGTCATGTCCCCATATCACAACATCATACATTTACCACTTATTGTTTCACATCAATACTGCAAAACAATCTAAAATATTAATCTAATGTATCTAGTACAGATGTATTAAAGACCAGAACCCAGCCCCAGAATCCAGCCCCGAGCCCCAACAACATAGTATGTTCGAGCCACAACTGGATCCATTCCGTTCTCAAACACCAGTGGTTCTTTCAGTCCAGAATCCAGCCCAAACAACATAATATCTTGGAGCCACATTAAAGGCAACTGGATCCATTCTGTTCTCAAACACCAATGGTTGTGCTTTCACTTTGGTCGCTACTGGAACTCTGTGATAAATAGACTCCCAGACCAACTGCTCCTGCTATGAGAAGAAGCATAGTGAGTGAGAACACTGTCCATCGAATGCCTTTCCTTCTGCAAGACTTCTTCTTTCTTTCACTCCTTCCATAAGTATCTTCTGGGAGCTCAAGTATGATCTCAGTGGATGCATTGATGTCAGTCATCTGTAATGTTAAATTAGGCAGTTATGCAGATTTACCACAGATGTCTCTGAAAGTGGAAACACATACATTCACTCTCAATCAGTCTTTGTTACTTTGATATTTAATGTCACTAGTTGATATTAATGACTAATGAGTATTGCATTAATGCCAAATGAAACGTTTATAATCAAACTTTGTCAATTAACATCTTGTCTTAGATGCTTTGCAGAAAGATTCAAGGTGCTGACTGTACTGAAAGTACACTTTTTGAGTTAAGTCATAATGGACTCACTGACGTCATGGCGCTGTTCAAATTACCTCCAAACACTAACGTATCCTTGGTAACATGGTTCTTTCATTGCTGTCAAGCAAGATGGCGCATCCACATCAATTTTCAGTGAAATAGTTTCTTTAAACTTGTCTAATATTTGAATAGTATTACGTTGGAAGAAATAGGGCAAGATGATGTCAGTTTTCTCTCAAGCAGAAGGCTTATTACAAATATCTTCAAACCATTGTGTCCATGCCACAGCAGTCACCAAATTGTCTGAGGCGGGTGCTGGTGCCTCCGAATAAGGTCTGTCTTTAGACAAAGGAATGGGTCAACTGCAGTCTACCCCAAAGGAACGAGGAATAGTTGAAAGTTTCATAACCATGTGTACACCTGTTGCTCAGCCTATGGCTTTTACTGCATGCAGTCAAACAAAACGGACGCTTTATTAATTGCTCTTCTTCCATCATGTTTGTCCCACGGGGATGCCATATCACGCCCCGTCAATTCACGTTGGTTAGGGTATCACGTTGCACAACCATCTCAGTAAGCCCACTATTTCATGGCTTGTAGTTGCTGCAGTTTTCCAACAATAGTGGTGGAGACAAAGTTGCAACTTGTACGACAGACACACAGCAAAATCCCAATTGTTTACATTTCTTAGCTCAGCCCCACAATGCACTTGTGGAATGTTTCGAGTCACATGATTAATTTGAAGCAAATTAATATAAAAAACTTAATTTAAAAATCTTACTTATTGCTGCATAGGATCATGGATAACCGCACATTGAATGGATAATGAAATATGACGTATTTAAATAAGAAACTACCCATTTAAGTGGTGTTGTATTATATTCAAAACGTAAATCTGTCCCTTTACACAGGGGGGAAGGCAATTAGGTGGAAGAGCCCGTCAGTTCGCCCTGTTCAAGGATTTTCAATTTATGTCACAGGTCATTATGGATTTTATTTTTAACCCAGCACCAATAAAACATAAAGGTTATTCTTAAATTTGGCATCTTAGAAAAAAAGTATCCATTGGATTTGTTTATCAGCTCGTACATACTTCAATTTCTCCATATTTCACCTCTAGTTTACTTGATTCTTGTTTCTTTGTAATAACCGTGTTACGAGTTTGTTATATTATTCATTATAATTAATCAGTGCTTTTTATATACCAGTGATCTGGAAAGGTGATTTTTTGTTCTTGGGTATCAAGTCGAGAGAATTATTAATACAGTCCTACTTAAGAAATAATGTTTGCTCTACCACCATGTGTAGTGTAATAAAGTATAGTTTTGCCCTGAACTATAAGAGTTAAAGTACGAGTGAGTGAGTGAATATGGCTTTACCCCACTTTAAACAATATTCCAGCAATATCACTGCAGGGGACACCAGAAATGGGCTTCACACATTGTATCCATGTCAGGAATTGAACCCAGGTGTTCGGCGTGACGAGCGAACGTTTTAACCACTAGGCTACCCAACCGCCCCTGTTAAAGCACTAGGACACTTATAGACTAACTATACTTTATTAAACTACATATTGGGGTAGAGCAAACTTCATTTTCTTTAAATGTTTTCACCTCAAAAGAGGTATTTGTTTATTATAATTTTTTTATGTTTATTGGTAATGTATACTGGTGTGTCTCTGAACTTACAGAAATAAAGTGATGTTATACATATAAAAGTGTCTGATAAATTTTTGAAGGGAATTCCACAATGCTGATTCATTATGTTGTAAGAGCAGGAGCCTATACATCCATAAGAACAAGGCTAGGGATGTACCAGCAGGATGCTGAAGCTTTGATGGATGAATTATGAGACAGTCTGCATTGTAGTTGTTTGTGACCTGTCAGTTTGAGTGTCACCATACCGGGGCTTGAGTGGGATAATGCAAAAATAAATTTTGAAGTATTTGAAGCATTCATATGAAGCAAAGTGATCATTAATCAGTTGCCCTAATTTAGAGAATAATAACAATGATTTTCACCTACCAGAAGAAAGTACACTCCAAGGTTTTGGTGGTATGACAAAATGATAATAGTGGTGAAGGAACAGCAACTGTAGAATGTCTAACCAAAACATAATGTACATAGCCTTGTCCCCATCAATTCTACTTGAAGATGTCTTCCTGACCCAGGTCTCACCATGTTTGCTGCAGTAGCATGGGATGCTGAAGTTGTCTCCCCAGAGGTGCTAATTTCTGACAGAGTTGTCTCCCTGGCTTGGTCAAGATATTTCCGCAGATATGCAGGCGTGTTCAGATCAGGAACCTGAAAAGAAGTCATAAATGTACACTGTATCTGTCTTTTCTTAATGGTATGAATCCTTCAAAGTTGATAACGTTTTATATACAGAAACCTACAATCCTGCTACATATATTGTACCTATCCTATATAGTAGTTTTAGCAATTAATACACTTTTGTTAATTGAACTAGCTTGTCTTAAGTTTAAAATAAAACTGAGAAAGTATGACAGCCTTCAAATTTTTAAAACCAGGTTTCAGAATTACTGAAATTAGTCCTTGTTTGTGCATTTCTTTAAAATCTTCAGCTTGGCAGTGGTACCTACTTAGGGATTGGTCATTTATTACAATGGTGGATGGGAATCAGGGGAGGGTCACCCCAAAATATGACAGTCTCTTGGGGAGAGTCATAAAACATAATACCCCGGGACACACAGAGCTCCAGATAAGCTTTTGGTGTTGTGGGTATTTTACCCATGCATTTTAAAATCACTGCGTATCAGCTATTCTATCTGGGTATTCAAATTTCTGTTACCCACTAGTTTTTACACATGTGGGTATTTAAGTTAAATATTTAAAAACACTATTCATCTAGTCCCTGCAAACTGGTGTTGTGTGCGTTTGAGAGCTTTATAGGACTCAAAAATACCACGATACTTCCACAAGAAAGTGTGATGGCAAATGATCATGATGTAACTGTCATCGTGGAGTTTGGCAAGGTTGAGGGAATGCCCGTTTATAATGTCAAAATAAGTTGCTGATTTGCTAATCGAATACGCAGGGTTACTTCACAATATTTTGAATATACGCACAAGTTTTATTTTTGTAGCGTATCTGTAATGTTCGTTGCGTATTTGATACGCTTGGATATTATTTTACTGTGTATTTCTGCATTTCTGATGCGTATTTTACGCAGATACGCAGCTTATCTGGATCTCTGTACACATATTTGAGGAGGGTCCATCTTCCTGAGACAAGGGAGTTAACTGACTTTAAAAGTCCAGTTTACACCCTTTCTGGGCTCGATAATAGCGCCACCAATGGCTCTTACGAATTTTGTCCCTCTTATGTTCCCCCCTACTGACCAGTCAGATTCAACCACTTATATCACTTGAATTTGCTTCAAACAAAATGGTGACGCCCACTCAAGACAATCTCATAGATAATAAAGGTCTTTATTGTAACAAAACGGGTTTTACCTCTCAAAGTGCATCATATCACTTGAGCACCTTGATTGAAAACATGAAAAGATTTGTAGAATATCTGTCGAGGCGCAATTGACGGAACATATGCCCTGCAAATTCTGCAATCAAACAAATTTGGCACGGCAGTTGCCATGTTGTTTATGAACCTAATGTTGATTTCGTTACTGGATTTTTATTGGACTATGCATAGACTCGTTAGTCCAGCCAAACTGTGACTCCATAATTCCAGCCTAGTTTGGGAAGGTGGAAACTGGACTTTCAAAGTCAGTTAACTCCCTTGCCTCGGGAAGATGTAGAGGGTCATGAAAAATGGACATTTTATGATAAAATATAAAGTATTTTTGCATTTTGACTTTTTTGGGAGGGTCCATCAAAAACCTCTCCCCTCCCCCCTAAAAACAAATGGTCCCTTTAATAAACAACCTGAGTTTCACAAAAAGAATTTGAATATCATGGCAGGATTTACGTCAGGCAGAAATCACACATCAGGCAACCTAATCCAAGAGCCATAACAGAAAATATGCATTCTAAATCTGATTGAAACTCAGTTCATCTCAATAAATGTGTCAATAAATGGGTGTTTTGTACAGACCTTGGACAGAATGCATGTCAGTAAAACTGTAAGGAAATAGTAAACATCTTGTTTTCCAGCATTCAGTTTCCACACTAAACCCACCCAAACAACTTAATGACAAATAAAGTAAAATTATCTAGCCACACAAATCTGTTTGTGTTACCTGCCCACCTACCTAAGTTTGACATCTATGAAATGAAAACGTGTGGCCTGAAGAATGCACATTCAAGTAGTCTCCATTGTATTCACTGTCAGCCATCTGGCATCTCTTCCTGTTGTAGCTACACACATGATAAAAGCCAAGCTGTGTATTGGCAAAAGAATTGTATTGCAATATATTGTGATTCAGTTATCTGTATTGTGATAATTATATTGCAGTATATTCAGAGCGATTTTATTTTTTTAGTCCAAAGTGGTGCCAAAACGTTTGATTTCACCGATGGTTAGCATGCAACGTTTATAAGCATGGTCACACGCTGCCATTTTGTAGTCATGGGTACAGGAGAGATAACTACATGTGAGGAAAATCACTTCACTTCTGATTCTTAGTCTAGCAAAATGTCACAATAGTTGACAACTTTAACCACAGATATTTTATATGTATATTTTCCTGTGATCTCTGTTTGAATCTATGTATCATTAGTCCAAGTAACTCTGAATAACCCGGATGACATTTAGTCAAACTCTGTTCATCCGGTCATTAGCACTCCCTGTAAACTTGTCCAGATTAATTAGCATCTGGACTAAGGAATCATGGGTACTACCGGTAAGTAATAACCGTATGTACATGTGTTAACATTCCCAGCAGTAAACCTCCAGGAGGCAGGGTTTCCAGATAAACAAGCTTTCACTGCACAGACATATAATCTGTAAAATCCCCCAAAACTTTCCCACAAGAAAATATATCATGAACCATTTAGACTTTACCAATTCAGGTGAAATCTGACCTCACTAATATCGGTCTTTATTTATTCTTGATTCCTAATATTTAGGAAAACACCCACCCAATGCAGTAAAAGTCCTTTGCCTAAAACCCAGAGTCCCACAAGTACAGCAGCTCACCTTCACAACATCAAATGAAATAATGTGCCAAGCTAGAATCTGCATCTAATAATGTTTGTGGACTAGTGAAAATACTAATAATTTTTTTACCCTGACATTTCCAGGGCACGGTTCTCACATCCATAGACATTATATTTAATAATGTCTGTCATAGTAAGTGACTCACAACAGATTAAAATCATTTGTTATAATCAAGTTACATACTTGCATGTTTAGGAGGTTTCATAACAACCTAAGTGCTACCAATGGTTTGGAGACAGTTTCTGAAGTGTTTCATCTAAACACACCCAATGACACATCGGCCAGAATTTTCTCAATGGTTTCATGGTTTCAATGGTTTCATATTCCACTGACACATAATTTCACTAGCCATAATTTCAGGTCAGAACAAACACAAGGGGGACACATTTTTGTAAGGGCTTTTTGCACAAGACAGAGACATAACACTGTATGCAATGTTAATCAATGTAACAATGACAGCCTGACTATTTTTCCTGAGAATGTTGCATCCTCTCTTGAAAGTGGGAAGTGTCTAACCCCTGGTTTAGCTGGCTTTGTTTTGTGCCATCTGGCCCCTAGTATGGTTAAAAAATCGTATTCATAAGGTCAGGTGTTATAACCTGAACGTAACATCACCTTGGATGTAGTTTTAGCTGGCTTTGTTTTGTGCCATCTGGCCCCTAGTATGGTTACAAAATCGTATTCATAAGGTCAGGTGTTATAACCTGAACATAACATCACCTTGGATGTAGTTTTCGGGTCCCAACATGCTGTTTTGAACACCACTGTACAGGGTCACAGACGGCTGTCAGCCATCGGGCCCATAGATGTTGTCGGATCCATTGACAATACTATGAACACCAGTGGATGGGGCCACAAGATATCACCACTGGACAGGGTCACAGACTGGCATTGGCTGCAAGACTGCGGGATGAAAGTTTTGGATCTGAGGATCTGAGGATCGACCAACAGACTGATGTCGATCCCACCAGAGTGGTACTCGCACCATAGACAGATGGTGGTCCAGAGAAAGAACTATTATTACCACAGCGACCAGGGGGCCTTCCTGATCACCCCAGGAATCACATACTGTAAATCTGGAAAGTTTGCAACATGAAATTATTGCCAGTGGCTAACAATAGCCTCAACTACTTCTGGAAAGTTTGCTACACCATGTTGATGGAGACTGCTTCCGTGGTCTAGTTGTAGACCATCCGCCTGAAGAGTGGAAGGTCAGGGTTCGATCCCCAAGTTCATTATACCAAGACGTCAAAAGATGGTACTTATTGTTACCCTGTCTGGCGCTCAGCATTAAAGGGCTAAAACAAGGACTGGTCGGCTCAGAGTCGGTATAGTGTGTCTGAGTGGGGTATTCATGTTAAACTACAGCATGATGTCTCAGTGGGCTAGCACTATAAATCAGCACCAGTTCAGACTTGTACAAGCAGCCACATACACACACGTGCATGCACATTGCTATATAAGAGCAATCATCTTGGAAGCGACGTTTAAGCCCATTTCACCTCACATCCCCATGTTGATGAGATTAACAAAGATCAAAGCTACTTTTGCACGTGTTATTTTTTATAATTAATTAGCGGTTTGTAACCTAGTGTCAGTGAGTGTTTTTTAAACTATAGATGCATGTGTTGTCGTTGACAAGAAAGGTTGGAGTAGAGTGTTTATCTAACAATATAGACTGGCTGGCATGTGTCTGGACTACTCAGTGTCAGCAATTTGAAGATATGTGGCAGGTTAGTGAACGTTAGGATATGAGGGATTATTTATTTAATCATGCAAGTTACTGACTGACAATGTGTGGATGTGAATAAAAGAAATATGCATCCGTACAATTTTTGTTTGTTTTGAGCGTTTCACTTGCAGTTTCGGCAGTACTTTCCTGTTTGCAAAACCTTTCAGACTAACAGTACATAATCTTTTCGAACTCATGTCCAACCAATTCACTTGGATACAGAGACAAGTTTGGACTAAGGCAGTATCAGAATAAACCAAGAGGTTTGGTTATGACCCAATGTATCAAGTGCCTCATTTATAATCACTGGATTGTCTGGTCCAGACTTGATTATCTACATACTGCTGTCACATAGCTTGAATATTGCTGAGTGCGGCATTAAACAGAAACAAAAAAATATTAAAGGGTAAACTCAATCGGTCAATTCAATTACAAGAGATGGAGAGAAGGCCTCAGAGGGGATAAACCTGGCAGAAGAGGGGATATTGCTACCATTTGGGATTAACATCGCACATTGGCTGATTACAGATCCAATCATCCATTTTGCTCATGTCCAACTGGTACATCTTGATGGATACATTGACTACTTTCTATCTGTCAAACAAGACAAGATACAGAATTGACAAAAATCTGTCTTCCTGATCGAAATGTTGTCTCATCTCTGAGTTTTTTCGGTTCACCCAAGTCGGAGATAAAACCAAAAGAAGACATCATATATATTCAAGCCAAATTGCAGCTTCACAGAAGAATATCGTGTTCACTGTACTTATATTCAAATGCTGTGGATGGTTCCTGATATGACACATCAACCTAACCAAACTCTTCAGTGACAGATGTCTTAACTCGGGAATCTGACATCCTTACAAGACATGACTTACCAGGGGAGATTTTGGCTTTTGTCCCATACTATGATGAACTCAGTGTGGTCGTCAACTTTGGACATCCTGTTTAACTTGTCCTCCTACTTTATTGGATGAGCTCACTTGGTGGATATTCTGTGAGAAAGTAATGATGGGCTTCCTCTAGTATTAACTCACCTGATCATTACTTGTACACAGATGCTTCCAAATTAGGTCTGAGATCGCATATGGACTGTCTAACAATACAAGGTCTATGGTAACTTATGAAAGAGAACTTGACATCAATTACCTGGATTGAGAGTTATCTACTATGCACTACCGATACTGGGGAGCTTAATATTTTGGCAGACATCCATCCCGTCGACGAAGAAGAGCATCTTCAGAGTGATCTCTCAAAGTCTGGGGGTATTTCATTGATTAACATTGATGTGGGACGCACCTCATCTGCATTTGTTTGCCACATGCATCAACACACGAACTGCCAGTGTATTGTCAGTTCAGTGCTGGACTCCCAAGCTCTTCAAGTAGACACATTGTTCATGGCCTGAATAAATATATTCACATACACTTTCCACCTTGGTCACGCCTCGAGTTCTGAGGAAAATCATGAACATGGACCGCCGATCATTCACATAACACCACTAATGATGGCCAGCCAGGCTGCGGTTCTCCAGGCTGTTTCCATTACTCCTGGAAGAACCTATCAGACTATGCTTTGAAATTATCACACAAAAGATGCACTTTTACAGCTACTCCAAATCTGCTACAGCAGCAGTTGCTTGATCACCTTCCTTGATCGCCATACACAACAAGAGATGGAACTAGTTCTGTCAGTGGCACAGAGGACGAGGAGTGGTAGTGGAGCATTCTCACAATACATGACCATCTTCTACCTTAGAGATAAGGTATTTACTGCCTTGGTCTGTTTGTTGCAGCCAAGTCAATTGTCACCCAGTAGCCTCCTCAACCTCACCTGGGGAAAAATTGGGGGTGGAGGGGGCAGGTACTTCCTGTAGCAACAGCTTTGGAGGGCTAATTAACCTTTTGTACCTTAACGGCATGTGATCACTCTCAGAGGTCACAGAAGTCATGTCAAGGCACTGGAAGTGGTGTCATATCCAGAGTCATCATATGAGTCATGGTCTGAGAAAGCTATGTACATATACTCTGCAAAAACAGATACGCAAAAGTACTAAAATAAAAAATATCTGACAGAGTGTCACAGAGTGACAAGACAACGCCCGACTTCACACGGCAAGGGTGACAAGAGCCTTTTTCAAGAATCACAACATCAAGGTCCTGCCATGGCCATCCAGGTCTCCAGATTTAAACCCAATTGAACATTTTTGGAATGCACTGGATCAATGACTGCGAGAAGGTCAGCAACAACCACAGAACCTTTGACAGTTGGTACAAGCACTACAGGCAGTGTGGGTGAACATTCCCCAGGCCACAATTCGGGATCTGATTGCTTCCATGGGATGATGATGCCATACAGTTTGGACTCTAATAGTGGCCATACAAGATATTGACAATAGATGACCTTCACCTTGAACATCTACTGGGTCAATGACAATGATGTATTTCAATTTTGAACTATTGACTACCATCTGTTTATTATTTATATGATATATAAAATATACATTTAAAATCATTTTAAAATACTCTGATGACATCACAAGTGGGGTTTGGATGCAAATCATCCCGAGGCAAGGGAGTTAACTGACTTTAGAGTCATTGTTTCTTAGTAATAAGTTGACTGGACTAAAAAGTAAGTCCATGCATAGTCCAATTAAATATCGCATAACAAAATTGACATCTGGTTCATAAACAACATGGCTACTGTAGAATTCAGTCGAATGCAGGATTTGCAAAGCATGTGTACCATCTGAACAGATATTTTCCAATTTGTTCATGTTTTTAATCAATGTATAAGACCTGTTTTATTCCAATATAGATCTTGATTATCGATCACATCATCTCAACTGGGAACTAATTTTTTTCGCTAAATTTCTCGCCCAGCCCCCATTATTTATAGCAGTTATTTCATGTTGACTATCCACATTGCACCTACAGTGCAGTAGCACCATAAAGTAAGAACAATGTGGTCTTTACGTAGGAGTCAAACACTGAATACAGCCCATTGGAAGTAACATAAGTTGTATTTTCTTCCATTTCGCTCAACAAATTTCAAATGTTTGTTTGTTTGTTATTTAACAATGAACTCATCAATATTCCATTTATATGACAGCAGTTTGTAAATAATTGAGTCTGGATCATTCAAAGATAATTTTAATGTCTCCTGTTAAAGAAAGTTAATTGTTATAGAGAAAATTATGGTTTGAGTAAATGAAAGCAAATATGCATGCAATAAACTTGACCATCAATACTTCCTGAATTTGAAGTTACAAACTGATTAGTTTGTGTTTGTGTTCTTCAGAGGAAGCCACTCTCTGTATGCAGCGTAACGAGGTGCTTCGCAATTTTAGAAATGTGGTATTTGGAGCTTTTCTTTACAGTTCTGTCATGGCCTTCAGTTATCAATCAATATTCATTGGATATTTTGTTACTAGGGAAACATCTTGGACTTGGCAGGAATAAAAAAAGACTGATCTCATAACATTTCTTTTATTCCACATATGTGAAATTTAGGTCGGTGGATCAGTATAACAAGTAACAAAACAATGGCAGCTAATTAATCACAAACCTCAATCATATGTGTTTGCAACAGAACAACAGAAATATGCCGAATTTCAAGAAACTCTTAAACATGTCAGTTACAATAATATAGTGTAATTTTTAACACAATAAGAAATAAAGGTATAATATACAACACTGATGTTAAACCATTAACACAAATGATTCATAGCCACAAATGGGGTTGCACACTTTTCATGGCTGCGCATACTCCTGCTGCAGTTTTGCATAATTAATAGTTTTTTAAAAAGGAATTCATATTCAGAATCCAAGGAAAAAGTAATAAACTGTATTGTGAAAGACATTGCTGATGTTTTGTGTCCATATATCAATTTCATTTTCCTTCCAATTTCATGCTATCTTGTTTTAAATGTCCTTGCATCAGGTAATTGGACTATACAGTTTCATACCCTGTTAATATGCTGACAGTATGTCTAGACCGTACTTTGATCGTGTATAGACACCTCGTTCAATTATCTCCTACTGGATCTAATTATCATGTTCAGTTGTATAGATTCCAAACTATTGACATTCTATTGGGAAATCCAACTCTTTCCAACTGAGGATCAAAGAAATTCCTTGAAACCTCAGCACCGCACTTTTTACGTAAAACATGTACAAACATCACTTAGATTACCAGTTCAGAAAAGATAAATGTTTAAAGTGCAAGTCTCATGGCAACGTACAACTTTGCAGCATTTGATAGATCATAACATCATTAATGCACATATCATATTCAGATGTGAGGGTCTTACACTGATCTTTGCTTGTTGTCCACAAGATGTGCTTTAACACTGATAATGATGCCCAATAAAGTTTGGTGTATCTAATCCACACCAATCTGGTAGGGCTAGATTGTACTGATGTTTTCATTAGGAAACACACAGTATGGACTAGAACATAATGTGCAAGTGGACAGAACAATAATAAACCCACCAGGTACATATTACGACACTTACCCTCGTAGATGGTGAGGAGATATCTGAGCTGAAGGAGGCATTTTCTGTCCTAGATGGATGTGCACTGACAAGATTGATCCTAAATGAATTTCTCTTGGCCTTTTCATCATCTGTGAGACAATCTCCACCAGTCTCTGATATTGCCAGTTTCTCATCACTGATAACAAACACAGGGTTAACCATCCCCATCCCAGCTCTGCCACATACACGTTCATGGTACAACTCCTTCAAATTGATCTTTTCTTTTTGGTATCTTTTAGGCTTATCTTCATTGAATACTGTATCTTTGGCAAAGGTCACTGTCTTGTGCTCAGAAGATGAAAGATTTGGACTCTTCGGAGTTTGATTTGAATCATCATTTGATGTTGATGCAAGGAGAATGGGTCTTAAAGGTTTTGAAGGGGTTCGTGGTAGTGGTACTTTTGGCAAACATGGAGACTCTTCTGGCTCTTCTGAATCTGACTGTGTTGCAAGTTCATCAATTCCAGTCCAAGATGTCCCAGGAGTTTGACTGGGAATAGACATTAGGTCACTCAATGGACTTTCAGCATCACTCATATAGAAGAGGACATTCTCTTGAACATCAACACTAGAAGGGTCTTCAGTGTATGAGGACATGTGTGATATGACTGAAGACAACATAGGGAAGGATGTCTGGTCAACATCCTCATACACTATCATGGAGGAGTCACTTAATCTCCTGCTAGGACTGGCACCGTTTGTTGCATCAATGTCATCAGACTCTTTTCCTGAATCATTATTCAATATGTCTGCAGCTGCAACTGCATCATGTTGAGCTATTCTCACACTATCTGTGTCTGTGTCTATGTCTTTCGACTCTTCAGATGACTCCACTCCTCCTTTGACAGTGTCATTTTGAACAGTGTCAGACTTTTTCGTTTCTATGTTCAGATTATCCTTCATGATTGCCACCGTGGTCTCAGAACAGCTACCAAGCTTCGTATTGAGATAGGAGCAAGTTCGATTTCTATGTAAGACTTGCGAACTGCTTTCAAGATCTATAAGATCAGGATCTGAGCGAACTTGGCGTCTATGTCGTGCACGTCTTGAAGGTCTTGGGAGACTCTCATAGACATCAATGTGAATCGGGGATTGGTTCTGATCATCTGGACGCCCACTAGCTGCAGAGGCACCAACTCCTGTGTAGTAGTGTTCCGGGTCATGGAAAATAGGATTTATTTTCACACCTCGTAGGCGTTTCCCCGATATATGCCCACCAAATATTGCCTGAAACAGGTAAAATCAGATTATTACACATAAATACAACTGTTCTTGAGTAGGTAGATGTTCACTTCCCCATATTTGAAATGGTTATGGTTTCCTTGATGTCAGTATGTTTAGAACTTGATTCAAATGTTTTCAAACATGAAGTAATTTGCTGTATATATTTATTTATCATATAATGTGCAGGTTTCTCGGCAGGATAAAGCCTACGGATAAAAACGATATCCGTTGGGGTCATATGCGGATAGAGATGCAGATATGAAAGGTCAAGTAGGGTCTACTTTAAGTGTTTGCCCTTGTCATTCCACAATTGAGTCAGAATTAACCATCGGGAATCTGGATAAACTACAGAGATATTTGCTATCATTATCAAAAGAACAGTCTAATATACTTAAAATCAGTGTTTAACTGTGACGTAGCTAAGGCATTTTATAAGTTTTGGCAACTTTGGATACATAAATTTCGAAACAGTTTTGCAAGGGCACTAGGCCTAGCCAAGCGGGATCAGTAGCCATATCTGTGCTCAGAGACCTCTGCGGCTTGAAACCTTTTCCACAAATTAATGTAGTTGGATTTGGCCGAAATATGGCCAAGGCTCAGTAAATACAATGTTTATCCCTAATGCAGGATATTTGCCATCCCCAAACACGCTCGCGGGATAACCTCTATGTATTTTACAGATTTCTGCAATGGTAATAAAGAATTTAAATGCATCCACTCTATAGTGTCATTTGTTGAATAATGAACGTTAATTATTTCACAACACATTCTGCAAAAAATATATTTCCACAGTGTTGTTTTGAAAGTAACAAAGATAAAGAAACAGCATTTCACACTATTCTGAAAATAACCCACAGTTAATGAACATTTCTAATATGACATGACATCTTAGAGGACTATGGTTTATAGTAGACGATTACATTGGAAGATATTGAAAGTGTCATTTGATATTAGATGAAAATCTAGGAATGAACCAATGCAGTAAACAGTAAACAGTAAATTCTTGTGTTGGCAACTAGTCTCAGATGTTGCATTGCGTCGAAGTATCGTAATCTCATCTTTATGATACTTAACAAACAATATTGTGAAATTGCACTTTATACTGATGAAAAGTGCCAGGGTTCTGTTCTGTTTTACCGATGAGGATGCTGCTGTTCAGTGTTAGAGTAAAAGTAGGATGACTAGAGCTGGGTTTTTTATAATATTGACAGTGATAAAATACACAAAAAATCTATTCAGACAACTCACAAAAGATACCTGCCCAGTTAAAAAATTGTGAGTCCAGATTTTGTAAATGATAACAAAATTACAATCAGCTAAATGGTTTAATATCAACACACCATTTTGGTGACCTGGCTTTGTTGCAGTCGTGCACTGTTCACTGCTGCAGTGTAGGGAGTGCACACCAAAGTTTCATGCATTTTTCAAAACGCTGGCATAGGCTTCAGTAAGATTTCATGCAGTTACAAATTAGTCACTTAGACATATTCATAGATCATCCTATCACCTAATATGACTTTTAAACAAATTTTTATTCATATATCTTACATATATGGATTAAAAAATCCACACAACCATCAGGCGTATAATTTCTAAAAACCTGAGATAAAACGGCCCATTTCAGACAGTCAGACAGGCAAGTATTTTCGATGTTGATATTGACTTGTACTATAAATCCTCTGAAATGTTGAGTTTGTCTGATGGAAAACTTGGAAACCTGTTAACTGCCATCATCTTAGTGGTTCATGAGTGTGTGCCACATTCCAAAATCCATGTACCACCACAACACAGAGTTTTATCGTATGTGTCAGAGATTGTGTCAGATGTGCATTGTTTGTACATTGTGTTTATCATAAATTTTGTTGCATTTGCAATAACATTTTAATATGAAAGGAAAAATGGAAACTGGTTATTGTAGAAAATTTAATGAAATGGATAGGTGTGCTGTATATTTTTTTTAGATGGAGTTCCACAAATATAGTACAGTAGAATATTGTATACATAGTCTGATGCTAATATTGTCTAATAATGCCGATATCGTTGAACCCACACTTCTTGTCTCACTACATCGGTTTTCGAGGACATGACTAAACATAAATTAGACTTGATCCCATTTTTAAAAGAATAACAGCAGGAGGTTTTAAAAATAAATTATTTACATGTTTGAATATGAGAGTTGTAGCATCAGTTGAGTCTAGTATTTACAGTAGGTTGAATAGTCACATTTAGGGATCCATGATTACCGCCTTTATGCTGCATATGATTGACTCTTATACTCTATTCAGAAGATTATCATACTACTTAAATCATTTCAATATAAAATCTTTTCATATAGCGCATTTTTCATGTTAGTTCTATTCAAACAGTCATTCCCTGGAGAAAAAATAGCAACCTCAATGTTTAGTTCTAAAAGTACACTCCACCATAATGACGTCATTATGTTCTACAGATGGGCAGTCCATGACCTGGTAGTCATGAATGACGTCACAGTATGTGATAGAGTGGCACAAGACGTCAAGCTGCATTAATTGATATCAGTGTATCTAAAAATACACTCTTTCCATTATTTTCACCAGAATTACTGTTCAAGATACATTGCCAATCCTATTTTAAAAGATCTAGGATCTTCAACACCACTTTTCACAATGTTCGTTAAGTAAATTTAGTATTTGAAATTGCCTCCTGGTCAAGTTTGACAAAGAAATGATTTGAAGGAAATATTCCTTTCCAAATGATGCCGTCAAAAGCAAAATCCCAGTCTAATATAAATTCAATACCACTGGCAGATGATATGCTGGAGATGCTTCAAAAGCAAGGGGACAGAATAGGTCTTCAGCAAACCATGCTTGCTGTAAAAGGCGACTATGCTTCATGCATGTATGTTTTGTTGTTTTTGAGCAAGACAGTGTGCGAGCTCAGGCTATGTTACCGCTTATAGATGAAAACCAAGCCTCGCTTTCACACAGGTTATAAATAGATTCAATGCTAAAGGCCCCATAGTGACGTCATAGCCCCTGTCACAGGAAGTGAAAAATCCTGGGCTCTACACCTACCTCATATAAACCTTTTATTACAAATCCTATATGTACATGTAATGTTTTCATATATTTCCCATTTCCACATATGTCAATTTACCAAAATAATACCTAAATATAACCCATCCATGCACTGTAGAGGCTGTGAGAACATGTTTATTGAAGTCACGTGACCTCAAAATATTCTCTCACAGGGTAGAAGTCATTCACAAAAATATGGGTTCCATCTATCTTAAGGGGAGGAGGGGCCAATTCCTATGTTTCCTGCAATCACTGATCACTAAGCCTACTATATCCAACTTAAAACAGGAGGAGCTACAAATGTATACATGTTTTTAATTGGATAAAAGACAGTCCCCAGTTTCCCCCTCGGAGTGACCAAGAAGTCCCACACAGAGCGGCCAGAAACATAAATAAATCTGGCATCTTACTGATAGCATCACATTCTAGTGACAGATATGTTACTTTAGGGCAGTTTAACACCGTTTGTTTAAATTTGAGTTGACTGATATGTCATTGAGGGACTAATTTGTATGTCAGGGGTCTAAACTGATGGTTTACAGGTTGTGGTGTTTGACATTTGGTTCCTTCTGTCTTAAGCTGTCTGGACATAGTTTGTCAGTGTTATCACACTGAACAGACATTTGCACTTAAATAAATCAGAACTTAAATCTCAAATATGTATTGGTTTGTTAGTTTTAATTAGGGAAAGTAACCCTTCACACCACCGGAAGTTGTCAAGATTTTAGTCACGTGACCTCTATCAGTAAAATGATTGGCTCAAACCTATCGTCTGCTGTAGCAGTATACTTCTTTTACTGTTGTGGTGGACGATTACTTTTGGATTATACCTTGGCTATTGCATTTTTATGCTCGGTCATGGCTAAATTGTGTGTTTCAACTGTTATTTTCTTGGAACTCACTTGGAATACCAGTCTCTTACTAACTATTTATCATGATGCGACTTCCAAGTGACACCACTGGAGATTTGTCAAGAAAGGTATGAACATATTGGAATTCTGGCACCTCTATAACTAATGAATTTTCAAGTGGAAAATATCAAGAGTACATTTATACCAATAAGGCTTGTGTATGCATTAATATTATATAGAAGTTTAAACGCTAGTAGAATTTTGCGTCTTGTGAATATATGTGCATTTATGCCATCCAACAAGTCAGAAAAAATAGAAACAAAAGAAAAAATAATGGCATTCCTCCTGAGAAAAATGTAAGACATCGTAACATAATGGTAGCCAATGTCGTCCTTGTCAGGTATGCATACAGTTGGGACAATTTAAAAAAAGATGATCCTCATCACGAAATGAATAAACCTTATTATCCAGGTGAAAAGCATTAATATCCAGTGAATATATTTTGTAACATGGAAAGCTAATAAAAGTACAAAAAAGTTGTTTCAGTAGAAACTCCAGTTTAAAAACTCCAGTTGACAGAGACTATAGAGTGAATATGTCATCTGCTAGCAAATTGTATTTACTGTTTGTAGGTCGCACTTGAGAACGAGGCTTGGTTTTTACGGGAAAAGATATCAATTACAAAATTGAGGCTAAGCTCGCACACTGAGAGTGATTTCAAACGCTCAGTTTATCTATCCATGGTGACGTTTCTTTCGCGGTTCAGTATATAAAACCATGCAATTTTATCACCACTGTTCGTAAGAAATGGTGAAAAATAATGCGTATATGTTTTTTCGTTTATGTTAATTTTTCATTAGTAGTAGTACTAATCTGAAAGTCGAAATTAATTTAATTTTTCTTAACCACCTGCCAATTTTTTAAAAACAACTAATAAAGAACGATAGGCCTTGAGACATCTTCGTTTGAAACTGTTTGATTCAATGCTTCACAAATCCTCCCCATTCACTGCTGTTTATCACAAATCGCCGTAAAAGGCGACTGTGCTTGTCGTAAGAGGCGACTAACAGAATTGGGCGGTCAAGCCTGCTGACTT